GAGTTTTTCCTTGATCAACAACTAGATTTACAACGAGATCTCGCATGTTTTGGGAAACGGAATTTCGCGGCATGAAGATTCAGATTGAGTTTTTTGTGGCAATGAAGTTTCAGCTTGAATTTTTCTTTGATCAACGACCAATCTCAAAATAAATTTTCGCTTATTTTGGCAGACAGAATTTCGCTGCATGTTTTAATGAAAATCTAATATCCTCATGCTCTAAATATTTTAATAGGAAATCATATTTGTTTTAATTATCATCATGCATGTTTTAATTGAACAACATGGTTGTTATGCCAATACAGTATGTGTATAAAAAATATGTAAAAAATTATGGCTTTGCATCCAGTTAAAACAAACGTGACATTCATTCAAATTTAAAATAAATTCCATTAAATTAAATTAAATTGATATAATATTAATAAAAATAAATTTATATAATATTAGATAAATAAATATATAAAGAAGACCTTTTTTTTAAAAAAAAAAAAAGAATGTTGAGATTGCGCATGCGTTAAATGTTTTAAATGAAAATCACGATTGTTTTAATTGAAAATCACATTGTTTTAATTGATTGTCGCGATGTTTTAAATGAATGTCATGGTTGTTTTAAATGGTTGTCATGATTGTTTTAAATGGATGTAAAAACCGGTATGTTATTTGCTTGAAATCAACTTTTATTTCTCGTAAACAAATATACATGTTATTTTGTTTGTTATTCAATTCAATACAAATTTTACAGTTTACCTAACATTTTTTTTATTTTTTTGTTTGGTAATAATATAAAAATTGGTGAGATTTATGGACTTATACGACAAGATAAACTAGTTCCTAATGATATACCAATCTTTTCATAGAAATTAACTGTTCTAGTTTTTGCAGATATTAAACTAAAGGACTCTGAGTGAAAAACCTTATAAAATTACAATGTAAAAAGTTGATAGCTGCAAACAATGACAATACTCATTTTGAGAGGAGTAATGAAAATTGGCTGGCTCAAGATTTTCAATACACCTAATGAACATTAAATGCTACATTATTAGTTTATGAAGTTGGGAAACCATGTTGCTCTTTTGAAAAACCTTGTAACAGAACAAAAAGAATAAGCTTGAATAATATTTTATTTAGCCATAAATTACTTCATGCATCAAAATTGAATCTAAGAAGTGAGTTTAAATACTAACTGGCACAAAAATTTATGTTACTTAAAATAAAAACCCCATTAAACCTGTTTAGATATATTCATCTAATGAAGCTTTAGCATTCATTCTTAATGGTGATGCATCAAAATTAACATACTAACTTCTACGAAATGGTGCTAAAAAACGACTGCCACATATATTCTTTGTATAATGGTATAGGATCTTCAAAAACTAAATGCTATCCCAAGAATATTCAAATAGATATTTCAGTACAAATACTGATAAAAGATCTTCTAAAACACACTCTTAAAAAACTATTTGGTATGCAAGCTACTGTGCTAATCACAATGCTATGTAATTAACTAAACTGACATTTAGATACAAGGCTGGTTTTGATGGTGCTACAGGATATAGTGTTTGCAAACAGGTAAGTTAAAAAGAAAATAGTGATGAATGAACTCTTCATTCCCCTGTTGATTATTTGCATAGTACCTCTAGAACTCAGTAGACTTTATAATAATAAAAATATTGTAATATTATTCATCCAGAATGTACGGCCTAGGATTAAAAATAAAAAAAATACATTTTTATATATAAAGATGATACCTAATCTACAGACTAATTAAAAACGTCGTAAGCATATAATAATATCAATAATAGAGTTTCAAATCTATATATTCATTTATATTTTCTACATATTTCTATATATTTCAAATCTATTATATAATATTAATAATAGAGTTTCGAATTTAGAGATTTTCATTTTTTCTGAAGTGCGCATTTTTATTTTTAAAATTTGTTGCATCAATTTTTTTATTAAGTTTATTGCACAAGAGTTTTTTATTCAGTTCAACGATTTTAAAAAGTTATAGAATTTGAAATTAAAAAATTGCAAATCCACGTTTTTAAAGTTTAAAGTTTGTTAAATAATTTTTAGAATTGGCAACTATTTAACTAAAATTTATAATAAAAGTAAATATATCTTAATACAAAGTGATTATCTGGACATATAAAGGGTTTTAATAAAAAAAAAAGATCAAAATAATTTTGTCCACCATATGTCTAATATCCGGCCCACTGTGCATTGATAAGAATAACTCTGCTCTTATTGAACTGTAGTGTCTGGCAGACTCCAGGTGAATTATGATACTTCAAGTAATAAAACAAAGAAAAGAAGATTGGCACTATTAGTTGCATCTTTTTCATCTTCTGAACTATTGTTTGCATCTGATTGAAGTTTGCGCCAAGATGGTGAAAAAAAAGGTTTTATTTTCTTATTTTCTGGTCTCACAAACATTGCATAACTATTTAGAACTCTTTTTGTTCCATCACAAGCATAATGAAATTAAATTATATCTGCAGTTTGTAAAATAGAATAATTCATTCAAATCTAGAACTTTGGCATATGCAGTAAACTTTTCTACTATTTATTGCTGATCGCTTTTTCTTGTTACAAACTCACAAACTGACACTAAAAGTTACAAACTGACACTAAAATGTTTTAAAGTATGTAAAAAAAAACTTATCTACTTTCTAATCTTCAAAACTATTTTAATATTCATAAGGAAGCTCTTGGAATTGCGGAAAATTATGTCGGTAAATAGTTGCCGACCTAAACTGTTTTGGATCAGCATCAAACCAGGACAAAATTTGTAAACAGTGTTTGACAAATCAATGAACATTTAGCATAAAATTTGAGAAAAACAAACGCCGAGTTCTCCGATTTTTCTTTCAAACATCGACGTTCAAAAAATAAAAATAAAATAAGCAGCATTTTTAAACTTAGTTTTACTAAATTTATTATAATTATTTTATTTAGTGGTCGTGGCGCAGTGGTTAGAGCGCTTGCTTTATAAGCAGGAGATCAAGGTTCGAAACGAGCTTTGGACATATTTCGCGTTACGGTAAGGAAGGAGGCGTGAACTTCCTGGTTAAATGCACTTCCGCGGTGCTCTGTGACAAGACCGTTAGGACTTCTTGGGGGACCTAAATAATAACAAATAAAAAAAAAAAAATAATAATAATTTAAAATTAATAAAACATTCAATTTTTTCCGTTTTTTCTGAACAAAAGGTTCATTTTTTCCGTTTATTTTAATTTTTTATCAAGGTTTTATTACTAATTTTATTACATAATTTTTATTAATTGTTTTATTACACTTTTATTAATTGTTTTATTGCATACCCCTTTATTTTACAGAAACTGAAAAAAAAAAAAAAAAAAAAAATTATTACCATATTTGACGTAAAGTTTAACGAGGAATACGTTGTTAAAGTTATTTTTTTGATATTTTTTTTACAGAAAAACTGATTTAACGCCCATATTTTTGAGTAAAATCTTTTTATACGTAGCAACGCTCTTAGCAACTATCACTATAGTTTTACTGTTCGACAAACTACTAAAGTCAGAATTATTGCAAGTGGGATATAACCTAGAAACAACATTGTTAATAACAACTTATAGAAACAATTTAAGAATTAATTCTGGAACTAAAAAGAGATTATTTTATTGTAACCAGTTCAAACACAAAAATGATGATTTAACAGAAGTTAGCATCTGGTTCTTTACTGTCAACAAGTAACTCTATTCGGGAAAAATAAAAACAAGTATGATTGTTACAATAATTTTGGTTTATTGAAATTTTTTAGTGAAAGAGCTACTTTCTCAGACTGTTCAAATAATGTTAATGTTAGAAATAATGAAGCTAAGCAACAAGAAATTAAATTAGAACTACACCTATCATGGATTTGAAGTTCTTGTCAATGGCATCAAAGTTCGAACCTTACAACAATCCTATTGCAATATATAAAGCAAAAACAATATCACAAAATAGTAGTGAAAAGTTCTTTGCTACTAATGTTTATGTAGTGATAGCATTTAGAGAAATTTATAGAGCTCATTGAGCTAATAAATCTTTTACCTATATTTTTCAAAGCTTACAACAATATTACTAATGTTTTGCATGGTATACATACAAGTGTTTGTTAAGCATTTATAACTAGAAATGGTATAGAAAACAGAAAAACTAAGGAAGCAGAAAAGTAAAGAAATAATAACCTGTACAGTTTCTGTAGATGGTTAATGGCAGAATAGAGGACACAGCTCACTAAATATCCTAAAGAGAAACATTAAGAAAATTCTTCCAATAAGTATTTATTATGCAGTTATTGAATTTAATAATGTAAAATCTGGTTTAAGAGCAATAATACAAAAACTTGGAAAAACTTGGAAAAAGCCAGTTTCACAGTTTATACTTAATGTATTTAGCAATAGTTATACAGAGCGTATGTATAATTGATAGTATTTTTATCAGTTTATTATTTTTGTGTTTTTCTTAGTGTTTAATATTTAGCGATTTTGTAAAATTAAAAACATGGTATTGCAAGATCAACATAAACTTTTAGATTGAAATTTTCACGTATATTCTTTATTTATAATGGCAGGAGTTGAACCAAAACTGAAGTTTTACACCAAAAAATTGAAAGTTAAAGTTTAAAGTATAGAGAAACACGTAAAATCTTGGCCTGGCGCACTCTGACTTAAAGCATTAGTCATATTATTAGATTTATTTTTAGAAATAAGGCGCAGCACAATTTTTCTAACACTGACTTAGGTGCAAATTCTTTTCAGAATTTCACCCGAGAAAAAACTTTGCAAATTGCTTAGCAAACCTACCTCGATTTGTGCTAATATAGTTTCTCACTTTCTTTTAATTTTATTTAAGCTTTTGCACTTACGCTAATGTTTTTTGATTATCGGGTACACGTAAAAAATTGTATATACTATATCTTATGCTGCGTTTTTTGGTACATAAAGTACAAGCTGCTTAATACGTAAAACAAATAAATTCGCCGTAAATTAAATCATAAATAGATCAAAAAACATCATTTTACAGATTCCATCTCAAGCATTCCTTCTCTGCTTTTCCCATCTTTGAATTCTCTCTTTAATATATTTAGATAGCTCATTTGATTTACTTAAAGTAACACTAAGAGTACTTACTTCGAATGTTAGTTGAGAAATTTTTGTACTTTCCTCTGATTTTTTAGTTTTTTTTAATCTTTTTTTTTACTTAGAGAACTGCGTGTTGAAGAGCTACTAACTTTTATCTCATCAAAAGGAGGATAATATCCTTTTACACCAATATAAGGGCGAACTACTTTTACTGTTAGTGCTTCCAATCGCATATAGTTTTCACTAGCAGGTTTCGACTCGTGAATGCTAGCTAGAACTATAAACATTTGCTTTATGTGCGGTGAAATGTTTTGCCCATTTTCAAGCACTGCCTCTATTCCTGTTTTTAATAAAACTAAGTCTCTGAAGGCAAGCAATGTAATATTTCTTACTTCAAAAACAAGATCTCCCAATGGAATGAAAATTGCCATTATCTCATGAAGGGTTGTTGAATAAAAATAATCCCAAGCATCAGATAAACAACATAAGATATCTTTTAGTTTCTTTCGTTTCTCTTCAATTGAAAATCGTAGAACAATCATTCCTAATTAAATAGTAATTAAAAAACAAAATATAAAAATGAGTACAAAAAACATGAATTATAGCAGACGCAGTTATATAGTAGAATATTTCAATAAAACAAAAATCACAAAAGTTAATTACCTAAATTAAGAATTGTGTTTCGATAGTAATCCAGTATTTCTTTAGGTTGATCTAATTTCAAAAGATTACGAACTTTTTCGTTGGCCACATCAAGTTTAAGAACGTAGACTCGTTTGTCATTGTTGTTTTCGTCATTATTGACTAATACGTTAACGTACTTTTGTATATATTTCCAACTTTCATTGCGGATTGCAGATGATGATTTTGCTTTAGAACTAGCAATTTTTTTTGCATCAGACATTTTGCTATGAAATTTAAAAACTGAAATTTATTTTCAATTTATTTTTTTTCTAAAGTTATTTTAAAAACCAACATTGAATTTACTTTATTTTTGTATTCCAATTTTTCGCAACAATAAATACACTTTAATAATCTAAAAATGATAAATCAGATAAAGTTAATCGCATGATTACTTTAAATACCGCACTATAAATTTAACCATCGCAAAATTAAAGTTAACTATCGTTTGACAAAGTTAAGATTAAAATTAACAAATAACATTATATGCAGTTATCAATTTAAAAATATAAAATAAATGAAATAATTATTATTTTATAAAAGTTTTAAGATATAGAAGACTTTTTTTCAGAAATTGACAATTGTGCTTCCAACCTCCTCCTCCTTCCCTCCTTCTCCTTCTTCCATTTCGAAAAACTGTGTTGTCGGTTTTCAAAATAACGCAGTTAGAAAGTAAAAAAACACAAAAAAAAACAGTAGTTGAACATTTTTAGATAAGATAAAAAATATACAAAAAGCGTTAGTAGGAGCGTAGAAATATTCTTCGCCAAAAATTTAGTTATGTTATTAGTCTTGAAGCAAAGATAAAATCAACTATACAAATCAAATATTAAACTATAAATCAAATACTTATTTAGGAAATAGATGTTGCAATTTAACAAATTCAAATGACAATGTAAAGTTTAATTTTTAAAAACTTAAAGTTTTAAAAACATTGAATTGTTGAACCTAATTTAAGCTTCATAATCTTAACTCAATACCCATCAGCCAATATTGTTTTTATAGTTTGTGAGTAGCTTATTTGAATAAATTATTATAAATCTAATAGTGTAAATATGCCATGAATTTTGTACATAATAAATTATGTACAAAATTCATGACATTAATTATGCCTTGCTGATTACGGCAAATGTTGAAAAATTGAGAATAATAAGTATAAGAGAACAGAGTTCAACAAACTCTTTACCATCTTCAAAATATTAACTCTATTTTTTTTTTTTCAGTTATTGCATAAGGACAAAAAAGTTTCAGTGTGTGTTTTTTTCCAATCATTTTTTCCATAGATGTCATAATGTCGTAAATATTATTAATTAAATTATTAAAAAAATATAATTAATTAAATAAAGTAAATATAACACTCGTTTTTACAAGTTATTTTGACATTATGACATCTATAGAATTAATAATTGGAAAAAAACACACACTGAAACTTGTTGTCCTTATGTAGTAACTGAAAAAAAAATTAAAGTTAATATTTTGAAGATTGCAAAGAGCTTATGGTAAAGCAACTGATTTAGGACGCATGTACGCACATGTATGCTTTCGACAAACCCCTTCCTCTGCGAACGTACAAAATATTTACTACAAAACCAACCCCCTCCTTGTTCAACGCATAATGTTAAAAACAAAAATTTCATTAATTTGACATATCTCTGTTGCGTAATATAATACTGATTTCACCAAGAAAAATTTCAGTGAAACTTTTATATCGTAGTGCTTCTTCATTCTATTATCGTACTTCTTAATACTTTCTCATGATTAGACATTCTTTCACTTTAACGTGTTCCTTTATGCTTTATAGTGGGAGCTATAAGGATAAAATAGTTCAAATTGTGATACCAGCATGAAACTTGGCGGAATTGTTGGTAATAACTATACAAAATGATTTAGAAAAAAAAACCACTTGTAGATGTCTTACTTTTTAAGTTACTGATTCTTTAATTTTTAAGGAAATGGACTTAAAGAACTTCATTTTATTTAGTGAGGGCGATAAGTTTAAATAGTCTAAATCAAGATGCCAGCTTGAAACTTTCAGGAAATTGTCTATGAACTAAAATAATTAAAAAAAAAACACCGTTCTGGAAATATTTTTTTTGGCCTGGGCATCGGGGTTTAAACTCGGGGACCCCTGAGTTTAAACTCCTTCATTTTATATAGTTGGGGTAATAAGTTTTAATAGTTCAAATTGGGACAAAAGCTAAGAACCTTCAGGAAATTATCTATGAGCTAAAAGAAATAAAAAAAAAGGACGATGTTCTAAAAATATCTTTTTGGTTCTGGGGCGACCCCCGAGTTTAAACCCCTTCATTATATATATAGTGGGGGCAATAAGTTTTAATAGTTCAAATTGGGATACCACCTTAGAACTTTCATGAAATTGTCTATGAACTAAAAATTTAAAAAAAAAAAACGACCCCGTTCTAAAAATACTTTTTTGGTCCAGGGGCGACCCCAAGTTGTCAGTAAAAAACTATATAATCTTCAAAACTGACGATTTAAGGTTGAGTTAAAAGCTAAATTTAAAAGAGAATCTACTTTAAGTAAATAACTATATCATATTATATAATAGAATAAGGCTAAAGATATAAAACATGGTATAAAAAGAGTGGATAACAGAATAAATTTCAAATTTATCCTACGGATGAAGGTTTTAATAAAACTGAGTTTTTCAAATTTCTTCTAAACACTGACCAGAATACTCGCATAACTCTGTGCAGTTTAACCCTAAACGTTTGCATTCAATGCATGATTTTGATTAAATGCATGGTTTTCCAGGGCAAAAAGTTCTATAGAATTTTCTATAAACTTTTAAAACATATGGCCTATAGAAACTCAATAGAATTTCTATAGAATGTTTATTAATTTCTATAGAAATTGCTATAAAACTTTTTTCTCTATAAAAAAAAAAGTAGAAAAAAAAATTTCAGTAGGATTTTTTCAGAAGTTAATAGAAACTCTATAGAGTTCTATAGAATTTCTATAGGCCATATGTTTCAAAAGTTTATATTCTATAGAACTTTTTTTCCTGGTTTTAATGTCTCGGGTAGTGTCATCCATAAAGGTATCATTGCGTCATTTATTTTCATCCAACCCCATTTAGTAACGTCAGGTAAAATCTGTTGAGGCACCAAGGATTGTCCCCATATGATACTAAATAAAAATTTCAACGTAAATTTATTTTTTTAATATGATTTACTTAAACTGTTTTGATAAGTCTATTCAAATACTAAAAAAATACTTTCCTTGAAACACAGCTTTTTTCAAATGCTGAAAGAGTGCATCTTTTATTGGTGGTAACCCCTCGCTCTGTTGTGACTTTTTAGTGAACAGCATTCTTCGGCATATGGCGAAATCAGTAGTGGAACTTGTCCTATCATAAAGTAAAATAACGTAGCGCTCAAACTGCAGCAGTACTTCAGATTAAATAACTCTAGTATTTGGAGATGACAAGCTAAATAATAATAAACAAACGTATACACTAAAATTGCACAAAACAGAAGCCTATAAGAAAACATTTTTAAAAGTAGCAGCAAGCAAAGCAGCTAGCAAACCTAAAATTTTTATAACTATAAAAACATAAGTTGCCAGCAAAATGTTGTATAATTTCATTATCTCCATTGTTCCAGAGATTCAAAGCAAGTTTTTTCCCCCGTCCTGCAAATGAAGACACAGTACCTCAGCCAGTAAATCCAAACCACAATGACACAGCTTGTGCTTTTTCACCTTTTGAACGTAGTAGTGTATGGGAAGCCATCGTTTGAGCTTTCCAACTCCAAATTCTATTCAAAGTTGGTTGATAACTGTTTAAAAGCGAAAATTGAGATTGCAACAATATCTGTGTTAACTTTTTAAATAGAGACAACTTGATGCCCACTGTTAACGACGTTTTTAACGTGTAGCAAAATCCGAGTGTCAGCTTCCTCGTAGTTACGAGTGTAAGCTTCCTCGTAGTTACAAGGTGAAATTTTTCGTTAAAATCTTTGGAAATGGATATAACAGTTTCATCAAACGTTGCTATTAAAAGTAAGTCAATTGTCGGTACTTGTACAAAGCTTGTTGCAAGCATTTTAAACAACTCATTTTTGTTTTCATCCAATCGAAAGAACTGTAACCAATTTTTCCAAATTGGAGTTGAATCAAAAACACATACTCTCACTCCATAACCACGACTGTCCCTGGTCTGAGTTTTTAAAACTACTTTGAAAATAACGGTCAAACACAATGTCAATTCTTTGTACTTCTTTATGTTTTACTGATGATATGTTGATTATTTTTTCTCGGAATTCAATTTCTGAATACTCCTTGAATGTTTTCGAATTTACTGGATGAAGTATATGAACAATTGCACCTTCAGGAGAATTCAAAGAATGTGCCAAGTATTTTTCAAGGCAATTAAGATAATCCGATTTATTAGTTTTACAGAGTTTTCCGTATTCAGATATTACTGGTTGATAAGCATAGTTTTCATGTCGAAAAAATCATCTAATCTCCGTCTCTATATTGAGATGCCACATAAAGTGATGCAAACATTTTGCATTCTTCTTTGAGCAATACTGTTTTTAACTTTCCTTTTTGAGTGGCAAGAATTTTTTTTCTCTAAACAGACTTAAGTTATTTTGGGGTTTTGTCTTATATATTGAATCCCTTCCAGTTGTTAAACAATTCTGAAAATAACATCTGGATGACTCAACACCCATTTGCTTAGCTTTTTTTACGGATGCCCTAGCTTCTGCATCAAGTTATATTCTTCGTTATGATTTTTCCTATCGTCATCTTCTTCTTCTCCAAATCTTTCTAGAAGTTCAGCAAATAGTGGTTCACACCATCCATTTCATCAAAGCACTTGGGTTATCTAAAAATCCAATTGAGCCACCGTCTTCTTTTATAACCTTAATGTTTTGTTCATAGGCTTGATCTGTAGCCATAGATGAAAAAGGCGTCTTGTCTTTTGAAACGCAAAAAAACCTTTGCAGAACTCAGTCTAAACCTTAGGGTGTCTATATGGGAGCATCTTCATGCCAGAAAGAAATATTGGAAGCCATCTAGAGTAATGCGTGTGATCTAAAGCAAACATCCAAGGAATAATTTGTTCCAAAGCACTGATAAACATATTGAAATTTCCCATTCTAAAACTCTTAAGAAGCAACAAGACTATTGCTTGTAGCTCCATAGCAGTAAACTAATAATTAAATTGCGTGTATACTGTTCTTTGTTGTTGGATTCACAGTTCAAAGGAAATTGTAAATTTTTTTGGTATGTTTCAATCAATAGTGAGTATAAACCAGCTAATGAAACTTAGGCTGCATACCTTGAGCGCTTTACTTTTCAACCAGTTAGCATAAATTCGGCTTAACC